ATATATATATATATATTTATATACTTCCTAATAAATACAACTTGCTCTGTGCAAGGTGTGATGAAGATTTTGTTTCACATAGTGAAACCCAGTTGGGGAAGAGCATGCATTTGTCTATGTGCGAATGCCAGAGAGCTTTTGATGTCGCTGGTTCTTTCCTGGGGCTTAGAATGAAGGGGTGGAGTGCCTTTTCCCGGAATGCTTCAGCGATGACACTGGACAAAACACAAATTTACGGTTAGGAGGTCATAACGGCTCCACAGTACATTGCACTTTTAACTTTGGCTTTAAGGGGCAAGACTAGACGATGTACTCATTTATACTTACATGAAATATTCTATATTCTTTTACTCTGACTCAGCTAGAAGAAAGAAAAGAGGCCTCAATCAAACCAAATCAACTAATGACTACATTCTATAGGCTGGTAACTGTGGAAGTTTAATATCTTTAAATAATTAGGGATGCACCGATATTACATTTCTAATAATCTGATAATTATTGTCATGCTATGTCCAAGAACCAATAAATTAAGATTTATACTACTATATAAATGAAAAAGAAAAAAAAAAATGTAACTGCTAAAAGTGAATTTAGGCATCACATTATAACGTACAGTATGAAAATGGATATTCATTTTGCTGAAGATTAACAGTGTTATTGATTTTTTTGTGTGTTTTTAAAGATTTTGGTTTTAAAAGACTTTAAATCAAGTCAAGTCAAGTCAAGTCTGCTTTATTGTCAATTCTTCCACGTGTACAGCACATACATACAGAGAATTGAAATTGCGTTACTCTCAGACCCTTGGTGCATACAGATAACACTAACAGTAGAACATAAAATACAGATAGATACAGATTAAATATGAAATAAAATACAACTGAGCATATAAATGAGCACTAGATGACAACAAATTAAATTAAATATACAACATCAGCCAACGTATATACTACCTTTCAAAAGTTTTTAAATAATGTTTTAAATGTTTTTAAAGAAGTCTAGGCTTCATTTGTTTGAAAAATACAATAAAAACAGTAATGTGGACTTGTGAAAAACTGTTTTCTATTTTAATTTTTTTTATTTATTACTGTGGCAGCAAAGCTGAATTTTCAGCATCATTACTACAGTCTTCAGTGTCACATGATCCTTCAGAAATCATCACCAATATGATGATTTGGTACTCAAAAATATGTATTATCATTATTTATGTTGAAAACTGAAAACAGTTGTGATGCTTAATATTTTTTTGGAAAATTTTTTTTTAGGATTATTTAATAAATAGAAATCTTTTTTATCATTATAAATGTCACTTTTCACCATTTTGTGTACTTGCTGAATAAAAGCATTAATGTCTTTAAAATATCTCATCCAAAACTTTTGAATGATAGTGTATGCAAATTTGTAAATGTAAAAAAAAATATATATATATATATATAAAATCACCAATTTTGGCCGATAACTCATACAGTACCGTTCAATATCGTGCATCCCTATATATAAAAGCTTGGAAGCTTATTAAAAGAGAAATGGACTTTGGGCCTTTAACTGTTTTAATTATTACATCAGTTGTCAATGAGAGAATAGAAGTAAAGGAATAAGTAAGAAATAAGGGTAAAATGGCAAGCAAAGCCTTTGGTACTCACCCTTCTCTCTTCCATTTCGCATGTTACGCTCTTCATCCTCCAAACCGTCATCCACTGCAAAATTTACAAACAATAAAATTACCACTCAAATCAAGAAGTGGGTACTTAAAGGAGAAAAGTGAGTGTACAAGAGTACCGGAGTGAAGTTCTTTCACTAGTGACGACATAGTGTTTGTGATGGAGTCTGCAGCCACTAAAAGATCATTACGGAGATTTCTTGGTACACCTGGATGAAAGAGGATTTTTTTCAGATCACAATATCCAGAGCTAAAATATATCAATCCAAAATTAATTTAGCGACTTAAATTTCAGTCTGTTCCTCACTCAGAGCTATCATATGGCATTAGATGTCTTAGAATATTGTCAATAACAGTCGTATAGACTACAATTATGGTATTTTGTAGTGCTAAAAGCCCCCGTCTTTTTTATGGAAAAGATTGGTTTGGACATTCTTCCCCTAAACATCTTTTAATCCTCTTGTAAACTTGTTATGAATATCTTATAATCAATCATCTTCTAAATGTGTTCTAAACATCTTCTAATGCTATTCTAAACATGTTCTAAGCACCATCTAAACATGTTCTACACATCTACTAAACATCTTCTAAACATCTTTTAATCATATTCTAAACATTTTCTAATCATCTTCTAAACATGGTTTAATCATCTTTCAAACATGTTCTAAACATTTTCTACACATATTCTAATCATCTTTTAAAAACATGTTTTAAATATATTTTATTTATCTTCTAAACATCTTCTAATCATATTCTAAACATTTTCTAATCTTCTTCTAAACATGTTCTAATCATCTTCCAATCATGTTCTAAACATTTTCTAACCATCTTCTAACCATCTTCTAAACATCTTTCATTCATCTTCTAAACATCTACTAAATATATTCTAATAATCTTCTAAACGTTCTAATCATCTTCCAAACATGTTCTAAACATCTTCTAACCATCTTTAAAAACATGGTTCTAAAGATCTTTTATTCATCTTCTAAACATCTACTAAACATCTTCTTATCATCTTCTAAACATCTTTTAATCATATTGTAAATATTTTCTAATTATCTTCTAAACATGTTCTAAACATATTCATCTTTAAAAACATGTTTTAAATATATTTTATTTATCTTATAAACATCTTCTAACCATCTTTAAAAACATTTTCTAAAGATCTTTTATTCATCTTCTAAACATCTTCCAGATGTCTTCTAAACATATTCAAAACATATTTTAAACATCTTCCAAACATCTTATGTGGATGATAATGTCAATGCAAAGCTTGACACTTCTCACCCTGAGAGAAGGCATCCAGCACATCATCTCCGACCCGTGCCAGGCAGTCCTGTGGCGTGTGTGTGGGGGTTGAGCCGGCTGAGGTGGAGCGGATGGGCATAGGCATGGTGCAGCTGGCACTGTGGCTGGGAGATGAGTGGGGCGAACTCCCCGTCTGAACCTGTAGGAGGGAGATGAGGAAGGAGAACGCAAAAATTACACTAGATATATAACAACCTGAACCTCCATTGGTCCCTCGCTCCCCAAGAAACACTGAAAAAAAGCTACTACTGCAGACACGCCTATAGATATCTGATCTGTTTCTTTAGGTTGTAGTGCATACATCTTTGGCCTGAGAGCTCACTGAGCAGCATGCAAGTGCCATTAGAGAAGCAAAAGGATGGTAGAAAGGAGCCGCACTGTCCCACAGATTGATGCTGGGCCCGGGGCCTGTGGCCCACTGCCAGGCAGCAGATGGCTAGCCAGACTGCAAGCACATTAGACGTGAGGTGCTTAGCCCTGATGAAAGGAGAGCAGGTCTCTGATATTTGGCAGGGAGACATGCGGCTCGTGGTCCCACCCTGGGTCACAGGAACAAAGCAGCGGGACTTGACTGGAAATGGGAGCTTCATGTCCTCGTTATGAGGAGCAGAAGTGACAGAGATCACCCACAGAGAGTCTGCGATAAGCTCATGAGATAAACTCATGCTTTATTCTCATTAAGCAACCTGCACTTATCAGTCATTTTTAAAGTTTTAAAAATAGCAATTCTGTAAACACTTACTTATCATTACATCATTTCAAGACTAAATGACTTCCTTTCTTTTGTGGAACACAATGGACTGATGCTCCAAAAATGACAAAAAGAGTAGGAACGCACCCCTATTAAAATACATTAAGATACAGAATTATTTTCAAGTCACAGCCAATGACTAATAAAGCAATTTTGTCTAAATACATACAAAAATAAAGCAAATATAGTGAATGTAGGCATTACAGTATTATAATGTACATAGACTTAAAACTGCATATTCTTTTTTGAGATTTGCTAAAGATTACATTACAAGGTCAAATATAATCAAATATCTGTAATGAATTCTGAGTAAATATTGTCTATTTAATTTCAGCAATTTTACATACATATATCATGCACAAAGTTAAGATAAATTCAAATGAATTATCTTAAATTATTCATATTTTTAAAGATTAGCTGTGAGTGTTATATGATGGTAAAGTCATTATAACACTCACAGATATTAATTCAAACAATTAAGATTAACTGTGAGTGTTATATGATGGCAGTCAAATGAGTCATGAACTAATTTCATAAAAGTATATTTGTATAAGTAAAAGTATATAACAAATAAAGTATATATTTGTAAAAGTATATAACAAATATAAAAGTATATTTGTAGCATTTTCATTGTTTCCAGAGCTTAGTGGGAAAAAATCCCATTCATTTTCATTGCATGGAAAAGAGCAGCCTGAACATTCTTTATAATATCTAATTTTATGTTCCACAGAAGAAAGAAAGTTAGGGTGAGTAAATAATGACAGAAGTTTTTATTTTTGTCAGCAAACCTCTCCATTTTTCAGCGTTATGCAACCCGTTAATCTTTTACCTGTCACTTTCTTGAAAATGCCTGTTTTGTCATACACAATACATATGTTAGTTCAAACTTTTGCAGCTGTGACCCCGCATGTTTACTCCAGAATTGCAGAGCTGTATTAAAGGAACACTTACTGCCTGTTTCTGCTCTTCATCCTGTCAGCCAGAAGATGAGAGATGACAGTGAGTGAAAGCAGACACGTCAGAGAGACAGCGGTGGGAAAGAGAAAGGTGAAGAAAAAAAGAGAGGCAAAAGGTGAGCAAACAAATGAAGTTTTCATACATGCCGAGGGAAATAAAGAGCCGTACCTTCAGCAGCCTCATGAGACCTTCCAGCTGGACCATCAGTTCTCTCCTGCTCTCCTGCAGGGCCGACATGCGCCTCTCCAACTCGTCTTTTCTGTGCCTGAACCAAATGACAAACAAAATGAATAAATGAATCACCATATGAATCATAAAAATCAATGACTGCCAAATATACGCGACTTAAAGGGCACATATGATGGAAAACAGGATTTTCTTTGCTCTTTTGAAATAAAAAGCTCCTTGTACTATGGTCATAATGCAAAGCTCCCTCCACAACCCACTCATACAATTTATAAAAACTAAGTGGGAAAAATGGCTCATGCTATAATTGTATCGACTTCAGAACCAGGATATTCGCATATACCATTCTCAAAGATACAGTACCAAAAACAAAGCTTTTACGGGTTAAAATGATGACAGCTAATGGTAAAATGTAAAACTAAATTATGAAATCTTGATTAACATTAAAAAAATCATGACAAAAGTGTAGAATATGACCCCTTTCCACTCAAGTCTTTCATTAAATACATAGTACTGCTCAGAAATGCACATAATGTGACTAAATCTCCATGAAACTAAAACAAAGAGGGCAAAAACAGAACATAATGGAAATGTGCTCATTCATTCATCTAATGAGACCAACATATTATTAAGAAAACTAATTTGGCTCCTACATGCCCTCTGGTGCCTATAAAAGGTACTCCGTCTAAATGACTTGAATAAAGACAACAGGGAGTGAAATCCCATCCGGTCCATTTAAAACCTGTTATGCTCCTAACAGCCTCAAACGTTGTGAAACTCTCTGGTTAACTGAAGTTACGGCTAATTTAATGCTGAACGCTTCCTCTTTACAACTCTGATTAATACTACATCCATTCTGTTGTTTATTGTGCATGCGTGTATAAAGGCTGTGTGTGAACGTGTTTGTGTACCGCAGCAGTCGCAGCTCTGCCAGTAGAGTGGGGTTCTGCTGGGCTTTCTCTGGAGTGGGTTGAGAAGCCTGTTCATGTTCTAGACGCAGACGCTGGATTTCCTGCAGTATCTCCCTATATGCACCAAACACAGAAACCAAAATGAACTTCACTGGCACCTATTGAAAGCACTCAATTGTAATGTAACACAGTCTCATTAATCACTCTTGTCTTTAACAATATTATTATTAATAATAATAATAATAATAATAAGTACTATTATGATTACTATAATATAATAATAATAATTATTATTATTATTAATAAAACATTAAATGTTTAAATTAACAATATACTATATAACTATAAATAATAATAATAATATACATTATTACTATAGTTGTTAAATCATTTAATTGAAAATAATAGTTAAGTATTTAATTTAAATATTTAATGTTTTCATTGGTTGAGTAATTAAATATATTATCATCATCATCATCATCATCATATAATTTGGTTAAATGTAATTAATGCTAATTTTATTGTTTGAATATTCAAATATATTACAATAATAATAATAATGATTATTATTATATGATTTAATTAACTGTAATTAATAAGTGTTAATTGTAAACAATATTTAAATATTGAAATAAATTTTTGTTTGAATAATGAAATGTATAACAAATATTATTATTATTATTGTTATTATTATTACTGCTATTTCTGTATAATATAATTAACTCTTAATAATATTTAAATATTTATTTCAAATAATTAATGTTTTTATCAGTTGAATAAGTAAATATATTACATGATTACAGCATTTCAATTATCATTATTCTTTTACGGGACAGTACATATGAATACATAATTACTTATTTTCATTTAGATTGAAGAAATTGTAGTTCCATCGCAAAGCAAGAAACATTTAACTGTTTAAAAACCCCACCTGTTTTTATTCTCTAGTTCTGCGATGAGCTGCCTCTGTTGCTTATTAGCATCAAAGTTGAAACTCAGATCAGTTGGAGGGCATTGCTAAAAGACAAAATAATTAGTATTACTGATTATGCTCAAAACTAATTAGAAAGATGCCAATAAATGAACACATAAAAAAATATGCTGCCTAGTTATGGAGCATAAAAGCCAGATCTAGACACAAATTAATATTACTAAACATGCTGTTGATTTTCAATAAATTCCACACAGTAAAAAAGTGTCCTCTGAAAACTTCATCAACAAGGTGTTTTTTCTTTCCATTGTAAAGTATAGAAGTGTAATTTGAGTGTTTGTGAATTGAGCCTCACGGTGGAGTTGCTGGCCTCTGCTGCCAGACGAGCAGCATATCGCGCGATCAGACGATGTTCTTCATCCAGTCTGCTGGGACTCTCAAGGGTGCTACAGTCCAGACAGAGAGACAGAATAAGAAGAAATACATACAGCAGGAAGAAGAGAGACAAAGAGAGGGATGGAGCGTGAGACGGATGATGGCAGATGTGAATTCCAGAAATCAACACGAGTAATGAAACATCTGAGATGATAGATGACCATCAGGAAACAGTTTTGGGGAAGATACTCTAAAACTTGGCTGCTCAAGATATAAGATAGCTACTCATAGTTCAAAGCAGCTTAAGTACAGCCATGATACATAATTTCATTTATTTTAATACTATTATACTTTATTAATATAATATAATATAAAATACTCAAAATCTACTGGTCATTATACATAATATAACATTAAAATACTGCCTGATCTCATGACAAAAACGTACCTGTGGGAACGTTTTCGCAAGATGCGAAATATGTACCAATAAGTACATATCACTGCAGTTTCCAACAGAAATTAACACTAGAGGCGGTAAAACAGCGAGCACTTGTAATCGTTTTCGTACACAGTTATGATTATAGCTGCATATGTTTCGCTTTCCGGATGTAACAAGCTGGCTCGGTAGCTCAAGCCGGCACGGAAGTGGACTTAGGATGCGGAATCCCGTGAAAAACATGACTCGTGATGAAAAAGCTGAAAGATGAGAGATCGAAAAACAAGCTAAAACGGCATACTTGTGATTGCGTTTTTACGCCACATTCGCTTTTGTTCATACTATCGGGTAGGTTTAGGTGTTATTTTAAAACGCCACGGAGCATTAGAGTTATAACGCCACTCAAGGGACATTTCAAGTCAGAACTGCGGTGACACGTACAAAACCAACATCACATAAAACGTACCATATGTATGTTCATCTGCTCCGGGGAAAAACAAACAAACAAACAAACACTCTTTTAGCGCCACTCAGTGGACATTTCACATCGAATATATCACGACACGTACATGGCAGGACGTCATTTGCGTTTCGCGAAAAAGTTCCAACAGGTAAGTTTTCCTCATGAGATCAGGTTTTTAAAATAATATTATATTTTATCAATCTGAAAAAAATATGTATGTTTATTCAAATTTAGCAGCGAATTTTGAGTAAATATTTTGTAAATGTTTATTTGATTTCAGCCATTTTAATCGCTTTGGATAAAAGCGTCTGCTAAATGACTAAATAAATAAATAAATGTATTACACACAGTCAAGTATAATATAATATAATTAAATAAATTATAATATTTCAAATTGCTGTAGTTAAAATTAGTAAATATTTTGTAAATGCTCATTTAATTATTGCAAATTTATATACAGTACATTTGCTATAAAAGTAAATAATATAATATAATATAATATAATAATATAGCTACTCTGAAATCATGGCTTCCAAAGCTATAAGCTACTCATAATCTACAGTTTATGATATACATTTTAATATTAAAATAATATATTTTATCAATCTAATCTCATCTAATCTATTTTTATTCACATTTTGTAGTAAATTTTGAGTAAACATTTTGTAAATGTTTATTTAATTCCTGTGATTTTACAGACATTTGTTATATAATATAATATAATATATGTTCCAATTTTTTTTATTTTGAGTAAATGTTTTTATTGTTCATTTAATTACAGCAATTGTATACATTTATATACACAAAGTCAATATATATATATATATATATATATATATTGACTTTGTGTATATAAATGTATACAATTGCTGTAATTAAATGAACAATAAAAACATTTACTCAAAATAAAAAAAATTGGAACATATATTATATTATATTATATAACAAATGTCTGTAAAATCACAGGAATTAAATAAACATTTACAAAATGTTTACTCAAAATTTACTACAAAATGTGAATAAAAATAGATTAGATGAGATTAGATTGATAAAATATATTATTTTAATATTAAAATGTATATCATAAACTGTAGATTATGAGTAGCTTATAGCTTTGGAAGCCATGA